AATAACACAAGGTACGCGGAATTTTTAAGGAAAATGGATTAAAAGAACTAGTTTCCCTTGGGATAAAATTCCACAAAATCGTGTCGACATTCTCTTTGACGATTTTTTAAAAACCCAATACAACACAATATACTGAATAATAAAAATAATTTTGAAAGGAAATGAAGAGAGTATCGAGATGAATATGTTGTGGATGACTGTGAAAACCCATAGGCTTACAAAACACCCAATAATCATTACGAGCGATAAATCAAAATCAGCATTGCAGTCCATTTGTCTACGCACAAGGTGAAATTTATCCCCACAAGCCAGTTGATTGTAATTTATAACATCCAGGGGTAGTTGAAGTGAGAATTACAGCATGTCAACGAATCATGTACCCACATTATCAAGTAATAATCCAACAAATATGAATAAATGTGTATGAAAAAGGTGACTAGTTGCACTTAACATTTTAAAATGTAGATCTGAGATGTATTACACTGTGGAGTATGGGAAAATTGTTATGACCGCTGGGTAAATCATTACGTTCGCATTCAAGGAAGAAATTTCATAGGCATTATCCTCTAATGCGAGCCATTATTTCTTATACCTTCTCATTTATTTTTTACTCATTTTTCATTATGCTCTCTTGTTTTTGCTGTTACTGGGGATTGACGCTACTTCCTAATACTCTTCACGACACACGAATAAACCGATATTTATCTTGGGACCCTGACGTGCCTCGTAAACCTACGTACTTTATGGTGTACCCCGTGGGTGAACGCCAGACGAGTTTTCATGGGCAACAATTGAGTTATTGCTGCGAGTGACACGTATTGACTCTCACTTTTCAGAATTGCATGTTTTTTTGGGGCACATGGCTATTGGCAAGAAGGTAATTGCATTCTTTTGGAATATATGATTTTCTGAAAATTACGTCCTTCATATTGTTCTTCGGAATAACAAATATGCCAGAATTTTTCTGGATTTTTTATCGAGTTCTATCAATTTTTTAAAAAGTTAGAAAAAATACAGAATTTTTGGGAGTTAATTATTCCAAATTTCTTTTCCAAATTTCCAGAAATACCAATTTTTTCCATTTATAACTTTCGATCATTGAAAGTCTCTAATTCTCTAATTCGTCACAAACTAAAAAATCCAAGTAAAAATCCCGAACGTCCGCATAAACAATGAAAAATCCATCCTCAATCCATAATCACCAACAATTAACAAATTAAAAAACTTCCGGTTGGAAAGCAAAACAAATTTCAACTTTCATAGCGCCCCGAATTACACAACATGAATATAATAACGCAAAAGAAAAAACAGGATAAATAAGCGTATAAAAATTCCTTGTAAATAATTATTGAGCCCCCCCCCCTTCCCCCTGCATTGTTGAAGCATTAACTTTAGCCTTATGAAATTCTTGGGTATTAAATAGAGTACGAGTGGAAGAAACAAAGGCAAAGAGAATAGCCTGAGTAGAGGAGACAAACTTAATTCACGTCGTGGAAATTTAAAATGCCTCGGTACTCCCAGAAATAGCTAGAATATTTGTCCTGAGGAGTGAGTTGGTACACATCGAGGATAAATGCAGGTGGCACATGTACTCGGATTAAGTATATCACCCTGTGATTCAAACTCTCATTAAAAGTCCGGATATTGGATTTTAATGAGCACTTCAAAGTACCCAACTCCCGGTCTTGAGATTAACGGTTTACTTTTCATCGTCGCGCTTCACCGAACAGTCTAGCTGGTTCCACCAATCGATCTCTGTCCCCTCTGATTGTGACTTTTCCCTTACCACTCGGTTTATTCAATTATTCACTGAATCTTAGTTAATTAACGTATTCCGGATTCTCTTGATCAATCAAATGTCCCGTGCCACCTGAAATTCTCATAAATAACTCACCACCATCTTATTACTCCACGACATTAATTACGGTTGATTGATTGAAATATCAAAATTCTTAATTTCATAAGAAATCTCCTGAAGATCAAATAGCGCTAATGCAATGCTAAATTAAAACCGTTGGATAAGTTATTCCACTCGATATTTCTCCATTCTCTACTTTTACTCCATCGAAAACTCAATTTAACTTGAATAATTCAACATCATGAATTAATTCACGTACTCGCCATTTTCAATCTCCTCCGAGTCTCAAGTTGTCTATTAAAAATGCAACAAATTCACCGACAGAATCCTCAAATTTCTTCCCCTCGATTTTTTCCGTCCCCATTCACTGAACTCTCAAAGAAAAAAAAATATCAAGACAATCGAAAAATTCGATAAATTCTCCCCCCTCCCCACTCCTCCCTTTGAATTTTAATTTTCTTCATTTGGTATTTCCCTCTCTACCTGTTTTCCCCAAAAAATAAAAAAGTGGTGCCTTTTGTTTCGAAACCCAGCAGAAATATGAGAACAATTCTTGATTGAGAAAAAAGAGTATTGATGAAGGATTTGCATGGAAATTCGCAGCATGCAATACTCTATGGAATGTATAATTGCAAACTGGGTCCCGGAGGGCGGCCACATGATCGAAAGGAATTTCTTCAGCGGAATCGTGGTGCTGGCGTGGCGTTGATTGAAAACCACGCCAGAGTACAATTTCACTCAACACCGGAAATTGCAGTGGCATAAGCGCATCTTCCATAAACTTTTTTTCCATCTGTCACGAAGTTGAATTAATTCCATATCCGGAAATGTCGGAATTACCTCCAGAAAATTGAAAAATATCGAATCAATATTCACTGCACTAAAAAATAAACCGTCATTTATGATTGGCAATTTTCAACTTTCCAAAATATTTGAAAAATGATTTCCACTAGTTTTCAACGATTTCGTGAAAATTCCGACAAATTTCAAATAAATCGTGGGTTAGTTCCCCGAATCATTTTCGTATTATCGGAACAATAAACAAGCAATTACATAATCTTCACCACGCACCAACAATTGTGATAATTGAGTAAATAAAAAATTTTGAGGATGTCATTAAAGTGTTATAATTAAAAAAAAAAATCACCCACTGAGTTTCCCCTGTGAAAAAGTGTGAAAAGCGAGAGGTTGAAAATAGCGTCTCCAATGTTCCATAATCGCACCTGAAATTACGAGGTGGCACATCGGCATTAACCCCTCCCCCAAAAGCATTTAAATCCAGTGCAGAACGCATGCAAATGTCTGAAAGTCACGCGACGCCAATTTCCCTCTCCCCGATTTGTATCGACATTATTCGAAATAGCAAAACCCCCTATCCATTAATGACTCCCCCAGGTCCATTAGATTGAATTTTCAAATGGATTTCCAGGTGTCCGATTGTAGTCGCAATGC